AGAACATGGCCGCCGTGTTCCCCATGCTGCTGTCGGGGATGGCTGGATTACCCAACTTGCTGGGCATGGGAGGACTTCTAACCAAGTCTGCGGAATCTGTTTTGGAGGAAAAAAAGGGAAGCGATTCGAAGGAGGCGGATACAAAGAAAGAAAGGACAGAAGACCAAAATACGGATACTGGTGGCGAAAACTCTGTTTCGAGTTCTCCTTCAACATCCTCTGCTGCTGCAGCTGCCAATCCTCTCTCTCTTAACCCGTTACTTTTGTCCAACATACTTTACCCAGGGATGCTTCTCACTCCAGGCCTTAATCTTCATATCCCAACTTTGTCTCAGCCCAACATTTTTGATGTACAGAACAGTGAAAGCAATGACACGGGCTCGGCCAAGCCCACAGAAGAAAAGGAGGAAATTTCTAGGGTTAGAGATCAGGAAGACAAAGGGGGAACAGAGCCAAGCTCTCACAATGAAAACAGCACAGATGAGGGTTCAGAGAAAGCAGATGCTTCATCTGGATCTGATAGTACATCGTCTTCATCTGAGGATTCAGATTCTAGCGATGAAGACTAACCCCAGACTCTGCACTTAAATTATAAACTGATTTTGAATTTATTCTTTAATTATTTCGTTGTAAATAACCCAGTGTTGAGTGCATCAATGATTTACTGACCGAACATTTCAGTATTTGTTTAGAAGTGCAAACTGCTTTCAGAGACATTTTGCATGTAATATTTCTTGAAGTTCATAAGTTTCTGAACTTGTATGTACTATCAAATACACAATGGTGTAAAATTACAACAAAAGGCATTATAATTTTGTTGGGGGGTTAATTTTATGAAAATAATGCTCAAGTAAGAGCTGTATATTTAATATATTTGCAGTGAACACAGAATACTTTATGCATATTATTGATTTAATTTGAATATAGTTTTACAGCCTCCTTGACACTTATAATTTACAGATCAAAACTCAGCAATAATTTGGGCAGCTAATGAATGTCATGAAAGCTGTAGAATCTACATCACCATCCATTGCTTTAATTACATGAAAATGCTCTAGTGTTGTGATGCACTGCTGTTTCCAATTCAGGTACAAGTGTGTTTAAAAAAAGATAAATTTTTCCCAATCAGCCAATTAAACTGGCTACCTGTTACCTCAGCTGAGTTAGTTTAGGAAGTTTACATTGGTTTCTATTACTTGTTTTCAGGTTTTGTTTTGTTTTCTAAAGACATCCTGTATTATCACGTTAAAATCTGAGTTCTTTGAGATATGACTGTTGGGCTTTCTTTTCCCCCCGCCTTACTACAGATGTTACCTTTGACAGCAGTAAGGGGGAAAGGAAAGCAAAACCTGTCTTGTCTCATGCTACTTGGCACCATGTAGATCTATTTAGTTTACACCTTGCAAAGTTTTGGGCTCCCGCTACAGAATTAAGAGTCCCAAAATGAGGAGTAGTTTCCCCAAGACTCAGAAGAGGCAAACTGTCATAAAGTGCCACTGAAAAGACCTTTCAACACTGCATACTTCATGTACAAATTGTTTGTTTGCTTTGTTTGTGTAGATTTCTATTTTAGTGTTTTATGTCATAAAACCTCCTGGAGTTACCAGTTAATAATGGTAAATAAAATATAGATAGTTTTGAACTCCTTTTGAGTTTAAACTTCTCTGCAGATTTAAATCTGACTAAATATAACCCAAAATCATTATTGGGATATCACTTTCTATGTTATGCTGAGTTACCCACTAAAGAGAAAGCACTTTGAATAGTAAAGAAGACAAATTATTCCTAGAAACCATAGTAACAGGGCATAAGGCATCTGTTTAAGTCCAAATCCTTAGAACCCTTTACTATATAAAATCTGCCTAATATTTGATGTGTGATATGATTCCTCCTTCTTCTTAAGCTGCTATTACTCTGACACAGTTGAGGCCCAGATTGACATTTGCAGAAGTTACGAAATGACTTGAGACTTCAGTTGACCTTGGTTACATCATTTGTGGTCCAAGAAAGTAGGCAAGTGTTAAGAGAAAATAGATACAGGTACTCGTAGAAGTAATTTGAAAAGCTTTACAAAGGGATAAATTTAAAAAGAAAAAAACAAAAAACTGTATATTTTGATATAGTTCTGTTGCTTGCTTGTACAGTAAAACAAACAACTGTGTTGTTTTTTTATCAAGAACTTTACCAATGAAGTATAAGTTTCTATGTGCAAAATAACTAGCCCCATGATTAGAAGCAGTATTACATGTAATTACACAATTATACAAGTACCATTTGGATTGTGCTGGTTACATATTTTCCCAAATAGTATTCTGATTTTTTGGCCCTTCATGCAGTGTCTTAGCAATAGTCAAAAATCAAAAACTGCCAAGAGAAGGGGGTAGCAATTCTTCATCATGGAAAAAAAAAAAAAAAAAATCATATTTAATACTTTGCCCATTGTAATATAGCACTTTTATTTAAGTAGGATGCATCTATGAAAACAGCCAAAGTTTTACAAACAGTTGTTAACTTAGTTTGCTGATGGAGTATGTCAACAATTCCATCGCTTCCCACCTTTACCCCACAAAAGAAACCCTAAATCTTGTGTCTAAAACCTAATTTATATCAGATTTATGAAATAAAGTATTTTCCTAAATATGGTCAAGTGAGTTTGGTTACCATTCTAGTGGTTCTTTCTATGTAATAAGGCAATTACAGTTTCCAGTAATGAAGGCTGGTGTAGACTTGAACATAACATATTGGGTTTATTTTTAATCCGTTTGAACCAGAAGGGGAAAGTATGTCCCACTATCAGCTAAACTATATGCAAATACGGTTGTATAAAGTTAAGGGTTGTAAGGAAACCTCAGTAGAATTACACTAATACTGAAGTTAAAATTAAAAGGATATCCAAGGTGATGATAAAGTGTGTGTTGGTAGTTACTAAAAGAACCTTAGCTGTTATTGCCTTGTATTTCTATCCCTTGTTTCAGGCTTCATGATCCAAGTCTTAGTCCAGGTTTTTTTTGGACATTTGCAATATTTGCCAGTTGTGTTCTGTGTAGTCTGAATTTGCTTTCTGTAGTTGAACAAGCGTCTTAAAAAGTCATTTGTAATTTATTGAATTACTTTCTATGATGTTCTATAGAGCAAATGGAAGTTTAATTATTTTTTATTAAACATATTCTTTGACTACCCATGATGTCGGCCTCAGTATGTGGAAATAATGCTGTCAATGTGTCTGTCAGCAGCAAAAGCTAAGTTTTCTTCCTGGGAACCTATTTCCTGTAGTTCTGTTGCCTTACCAACAAAACAAGCTGTTGTTCCAGCCCTCAGCAGCTGCGGTTAGAAAGGAGTATACAGTCTAGGTTCTGGTCCATAACTTCCCTAGCTTTGAGATAATGATGCATCTCATGCTCCAAGGTAAGCATGTTGGCAGTGGAGTACCTTTTAAATCTTTCTTTTTAAGACTCTGCATCAGTTTCTATGTGTTTACTGAATATTTGAATTATGTACCCAGCACTTACTATTGCTATTTTTCATATATTTCATCTAGGGCATGGACATTTCTCCTGAGCGTGAGCTGTCTCCTGGTTGTCAGGTGCCTTCTTGTCCTAACCTGCCATTGCACTTGAGTGATTCAGTGGTATCCTTGTTTATTCCAGTCTGAATTTTGTCTCCAGATCCTGATCATCCTTTCTGGGCTTCTGCTTTCTCAAATCTTGTACACAGGTAATAAAAACACACGTGTATGAGCTCTGTTCCTATGTTCTCCCCCTACTTTTTTTTCCCCTTGGAAGTCCTGCAGAATCCCTAATAGTATTTTTAAGAATTATTTGTAGCAGGTCTGCTAGGAAGCTGTTGCAGACTTTAAAGACAAAAAAAAAGGGAGAAATGCTGTCTTACAATTTTACAGTCCAATCCTTTTAGTCTGTAAAATAGAGCTAGTTCTGTTTTTCTATGAAACTGTTTCCAAGGAACAGAAGATAGAGGCACAGTGTTGATGTTTAAGTTCTTGTACTCTTGAACTTTTTTGATACACTACCTGGATGTGATTAAGTGAGACTATTAACAAGGTGTTCTATCACAAACTCCTGTCCTAGTTGTTATACTTTTGAGAAATTTTTGCTGCCATGTTTAGTAATTTATTTTTTGTGTATTGGTCTCTTTGATGGTACTGATAGGTCACCAAAATGAATGTGTACTTGTTCACACCCGCACTTAAGCTGTAGTGAGATGGGGTTACATGGTTCATGGAAAGGGATCTGCAGTGTAGCAGGATATAAATGTATTTGTGATATGAAAGTTACTGACAGTTGTGCAAACAGTTTCTGATCTAGTTCTGTTGTACCTATAGTTGCCTTCCCCATAGCAGCCGTGTCATCGCATCCTGCCATGTGAGTGGGGTTTGCACTGCTGGAGCTGAGCAGCACTGCAGAGCTCGTGTCTGCACATGGCTGGGGCCTTGTGGCCGTGCTGGTGTCTGCAGGGAGACAGCTGTGCTCCTGTAGCTACAGGAGTTCACACAACTCTCCCAGCTTATCTAAATGGCTCTCATGTTACACAGGCAGGCAGTGTTGTTTCTTGTCACATTTGGAGAGAAAGGAAAAGGAAATGCAGATTCAAGTTTTCCACAGCTAAACAGTTAGAAAACCTAGCTCATTTCAATTTTAACTAAGAATTTCTAAAATGACATTTTTCTGTTGAAAGATACAGCAAGGACTTCTGATGATGTAAGTTTCTGTTAACAGTTCCCGGAGGAAAACTATTCTTTTAGGAGAAAACTTTTTCTATCTTTTGGTAATTAAGAGCAAGGTCTTTGAAAATATTAATATATACAGGGGAAGGATGTTGAAATGCATTATAACTCTACTGGTATCAGTAAATTACATCATTTGTTATGCCAAAAATTCCAACCTGCCAGAAAAGATAAACAATATTTTGCTTGTTACGTCTGTTTTAACTCAGTGTTTTAGGAACGCTGCTCATTGAGAAATAAATAAAAAGAATTAAGGAAATTTTTCCACAAAAAGGAGTGGGATGAAGTCTTGAAATGGGAAAGGACAGGTAAGTCTCCATTTAAAATAGTTATGACCCTAAAACACTTCAGCTTATATAATTTAAATTTTAACTTCAGTTTAGAATATTAATATCTTGTACTCCAGCTAGCTAACATTCAGATTTCTTTCAAAAAGCTCCAAACTACTTAACAGTAATCAAAATTTGGCATTTCTCTAATAGAAAGGAACCTGGGACATTGACAAATTAAGGCTATGATTGGGTTTTTTTTCAACACAGCCTGTTTTCAGACTATCTCATGGAAGGAAGGTAAAGGACATGCCATTC